AACCAAAATAGAAACCAAAAATTCAAGCCTCTGGTGTCTAAAGATCTTTTTTCATGCTTCAATTTCTATTATCAGAGAAATGGAGATTACTTTTTGTTGTTTAAACCTTGATGATAATTTACTCTTTTTCCTAAAATATACTCATAAAATATTTTGTGATGGTCCAATCGATGTCATAATGTAATACTATCTTCTTTTGAAGTCATTGTTTTGAACATTAAATTTAAGGCAAAGAAATAAACGTATTTTAAAATACACCTATCCTTTGAATGTAAACTGAAATCATAACAATGCAAGATAACAACTTACAAAAAGTCCATGTACAATAACATAATATATATTATAAAGATAATTTGATGTTCTTCCCGAGGTGTCCACATGAGAGAACCAATGCAGGCAAACAAACCAAAAGAAATGGAGTGGGGTGGGGTGGGAACAGCTGCTGCTTACTTGGAGTTGAGGAAAGTAAGGGCCTCTGCACCTCGGATGCTGGGGGTAATGTTTTCTGGTTTTTTGACTCGTGGATCTTTCCTTCCCCTTGGCTGGGTATTGCAGACATTCCCGGTGGGTTTTCTCTGCCAACTGAAATTAAAATTTTAAAAGATGCCATCCTTTCAAAATCACTTGTTTCTTCTCAGAATACCTAACAGATGTTCAGCTATGCAAGTTTAAGTTGTGCTATTGTCTCCATTTCGGTGCCTAGTCACATCTTTTTTACTCTGCATTTCATAATTAGCAGAAAATGACTTTTTATTCTTACCAGCAGGCTGTGCATGGATGGTATCCCTTTAAAACCTATTCACTGCTTTGTAAATCCAAACAGTAGTTTAACATTACACAATGCATCAAATGACATATACAGGATGTTTCTCTTACAGATTCTACTTGGGAGCTTCTTTAATAATCTGATACTATGCCTTCCTCAAAAGGGGAAACTGACTAAAATGTCATTCAAGCAGAATTTCATGTGACTTTTCTGAAATATCAGAATCAAAGAGAGATAGACATATCAGCCACTTTTCTTCCTTTTATTTAGAAGCAAGTTGTTTTGGAGTCTTGCTCAGAAATAAATAATCCCAACTTAGTGGAATACCAACCTCAATTTATTATATGCTCATGAGTGCTATTTATATTTAGGATTTGAAAGTTCAAGTTGTTTGTGTTCATTCTTCACTTTCAGGAATAGGATAATTATTTATTTTTTATTTTTTTAATGGAAAGTATACCAATTTCACTTTATTAGCCTGCTTTAGGAATAGGATAAGGAGGATGGAGTCGAGGTTAGGTATGAAGGAAGAGGGTTAAAATTTGCGATGGTGAATATCCCTCAGAACATGGCAGCTCAATTGTCAGTCAACAGGGCTATAATCCAAAGGACTGAAAGACAACCTTTGTTTTCCATTTCTGTGCCCAGTGACTCTTTAGTCACAGTGTGACGAGGTCTACCAGTTGCCTTGAGGGGAAATCATGCTGTCAGGAAAGAAATTTACTAAGGTGTCAAATAGTTGAGTTCTCTGAGCATCAGTGTGATCCACATCTGAAAAGCCTAGAGCTGTAAAAATGAACTAGATTTGAACAGAGCTAATGCTAGGAGCTGAAAATCTTTTGTCTCTTCTGGGTTGGAATGATCCACAGTTATGTAAAGATCATTTTCTAAATATTTCAGAGCTTTAAGGGGATCAAACTGGGCTTTTCTTCAAACCTGTGTTTTCTTATGAGGTATTTGCAATGCCTCAATAAGTAATCTTTGAAGGTCTACACAAGTTTACTGACCAGAAGTCATCTAATCTCATCTTTGGAGACCAAGATTTTCTTGGATTTATACCAAAAAAATAATGAACATTGTGTAGCTCATCATATACTAGCTTATGGACAAATCTTGGACATGGTTCTTCTTCCTTAGGACTTTTACTTGGATTATCCTTTGCAGCCTGATCATTCTCATAGACACAAGAGCAACCAACTATTCCTCACAATGTCATAAACCCAGAATGAATTTCTGATGTTTTCTTCCCTCTTTTCTTTGTCTTTGCTGGGTCCAGATACATGTAATTCATTCTGTTCTGGATCAATAGTTGCTCTCTGTGTAAATCCTGTCACTGAAACCATCCTAGAGTCTTTCTTGGTGCCATCTGCTATTATGTCTACATGATCAGAGTCCACACCATAACTAAAGAAATCATTCAGATAGATTCTCACTGGATTAAAGATTTAAACTTAAGACATGAAATCATAAAAATACTAGAAGGAAGTGTAGGGAAAACACTTGAAGAAATCAGCCTGGGCAAAAATTTTATGAAGACTCCTCGGGCAACTGAAGCAACATCAAAAATACACTATTTGGATCTAATCAAACTAAAGAGCTTCTTCACAGCCAAAAACACAGTAAGTAAAGCAATTCTCCCCTCAGAATGGGAGAAGATATTTGCATATTATGTCTCCAACAAAGGTTTAATAACCAGAATCCATAGAGAACTCAAACGTATTAGAAAGAAAAAAACAAGTGATCCCATCTCAGAGTGGGCAAAGGACTTGAAGAGGAATTTCACTAAAGAAGATAAGCACAAGGCCTACAGATATATGAAAAAATGCTCACCATCCTCAATCATCAGAAAAATGCAAATCAAAACTACTCTGAGATATCACCTAACTCCAGTAAGATTAGCCCATATCACAAAATCCCAAAACCAGAGATGCTGGCATGGATGTGGAGAAAAGGGAACACTTCTACACTGCTGGTGGGAATGCAAACTAATACATTCCTTTTGGAAAGACATCCAGAGAAGACTTAGAGAACTAAAAATAGACCTGCCATTTGATCCTGCAATTCTTTTATTGGGCATTTACCCAGATAACCGAAAATCATGTTACAACAAAGATATTTGTATCAGAATGTTTATTGCAGCCCAATTCATAATTTCCAGGTCATGGAAGAAGCCCAAGTGCCCATCGATCCATGAATGGATCAACAAACAGTGGTATATGTACACCATGGAATACTATGCAGCCATAAAGAAAGATGGAGACTTTACGTCCTTCATGTTCACATGGATGGAGCTGCAAAATGTTCTTCTTAGCAAAATATCACAAGAATGGAAGAAAAAATATCCAATGTACAGAGCCCTACTATGAAATTATAGTAGACTTATTATAGCCTAAGAATATAGTGAGGGGGGATGGGAGAGGAGGGCAGAAGGGTGGATTGGTGGAGGGAGGGTGATTGGAGGGATCACCGCTATGGTTTGTCTTACAAGGGTACAAGTGAATCTTTCTAAAAGTAAAGTATAAACGTCTTAACACAATAACTAAGAAAATTGACATAAAGTCTATGTTAACCAGTTTGATGAAAATATTTCAAATTGTATATGAAAACGCCACACTGTACCCCATAGTTGCATTAATGTACACAGCTATCATTTAATAAAAAAAAAGAAAATAGAATAGAAAAATATGCAATAGGAAAAAAAAATCATTCAAATAGGTCTTTGATCACTAGCCACCAAGTGCATACAGGCAATGATTTTTTGAGTGGACTAGCATGCAGTGTCCTACCTGAGACTGGACATCTTCAGACCCTGTGTTACAGGAGTCATCTCGAAGATGTTTCCAGGTTTGAGTTGAAAGCAAATAACCCACTGACCCACTGAATTGTGGTTTGCTGGCTCTGCTGTCATCTATGCTGCCCTTACATATTAAAATCCTACCACCAAATGTGTAGATCCTATGTTGTTCTGAGTCCATACACATCTGGTGATCAAATACCAATTTTGGCCCTCCATCAGCAGCAGTATCCTCAGCAACATGTTTGTGTCAATGATAATAATAGAAGTCACTTTTCAGAGATTTGCTGTTCAGAGAAAATCCAAATAACAGAGGAATCCAAATCACACCCCAACATGTAGATTTGCCTCCACTGAATGTCAACACACATTTTATGAATGATCTGGTACTTGGAGCACTCTCTTTCTCAATGTCTCTAGAGATACATGTCCACTGGTTGTCCTTCACACTGTATGCCGAGAAGTTGACAACATCTTGTGTTCTATCCCAGCCACCAAATAAATAGAGCCTCTGTCTGAACATCAATAATCATCTTACGGCCTCTTTACATTCCTCGTCAGTTATCTTCTCCATCACCTTTGGTGCTTTGGGGAATAATTTGACTCCATTGTGGTTTAATATTCCTGTTGACTAATATACTGATTGAATAAGACATCATTTATAGCTTTTTCAATCAACTCTTAGCAAGCATCAAAATCACCCTTCAAAACCAGTTGTCATGAAAATCTATTAACATGGGATATTCTAGCACAACCCTGATTTTCTTCTGCCGTGATTCAAAAGCCTCTGTATAGTTGTGTTGTCTGAAGTGTTTTAGGCAAAGGCAAAGGGCTTCCTGTTCACAGTACTTGCTGTACCAGTTGGGACAAGATTGTACTACATCAGGATCATCAGTGCCGCTAAGTTCAACACACCAGATGCTAATGTTAAAGCTGTGCCCCCAGGACAAAAGTGAAACTATTTTAATGAATCAACAAGGGAATATCTGTTCATCAATTTTGTGCTTCAGAGTGAATGTTGCTTTGCTATGATCATTCTTGAAGCCACTAGACAATAGCTCTGTCATATTTTCTTCATTCGTTCCACCAAAGACTTTAAATTTCTTCAAACTGCAGACGTGAGTTTTCTCATATTTTCCAAACATGACATTCTGAACTATAGCAGGCCTTTCGGCTTCAGAATCAAGTACCAGGGAGGATAGTTGCTTTCTGAAGACCACCTTGAAGATTGATCATTTGGTTTATCCACTAAAATGTTCCTCATTGCTGAATGGCTCTACCATCACCTTCAAAGTACGCCCCTTGGGAAGCGACATCAGTACTCAGTCCACCCTTCAAAGCAACTTTGGAACTTTTTTTCTGGAATGGCCATTAGAGCTGTCATCATATTACCCTTGATGTCCTGAATGTCATCAACATGTCTTCCTTTCAATATTTCCTTTATTCGGGAAGGTAGGTGGAGGAGAAGGAGCTCCATTTGTGCAGTGCATAGGGCAGAAGCTGGTACTTGGGCACCACAGTGACAGCACCCCAAGCCACCATCTTGTCAGCCTATTTATTTTTTTAAAGGGTGGTAATTCACACTTTTATAAATGTTAGGTTTTAGAGCTCTTATCAGCAAAAGAAATTACAGAGAGGTCAGATTCTATTTAATAAAAACTAATGGTATTGCTACTTCTTAACATATTTTTACACAACACAATAGTAGGAAGTTCAGAACACAAGAGTCATTTTTCTAGAAACATCATCCAGGACATCCCTACCCTTCCACACAGAAGGCCACTCACTTTGCCATTAAGCCATGTGGGTCCAAAATCTAAGTACCAACATGGCCCTTCAGTAATACTCTGAATTGGAGCAACTTTGTCTGATTTTCACAATTTAAAAGAATGAGAAAATTTATCAATAGAAATGTAAAATAAAACTTGTGATGAAGATGCAAGAACTGGAATTTGATAATGAAAACATTATCAAGAGGTATACATCACACATATGAGTATAGCTGGATTTGAATGATTAATCACTTCAGATATTAGCTCATTATAACCAAAATTTAAAGTGTATCGAGAGCCACCAGACTATAGAAGTAATTAGTAAAAATCTTTTGTTTTACTGAATTTCAGCTATTTATAAAGTAAAATAAGCAAAAATTTATTTAATAGCAATAATTCTAGTGTTAAGTTACCAGTGCATGAATAGTTTAAATCTATATAATCAATTTATTATTTGAGACAATTTTGTCATATTTTTCTAAATAATATTGTCAGATACATATCCAGGATTTGATAAATTGGATGTGTGACAGTATTTCATTTAGATTTTTATTATTGGATGATCTCAGCAGACTAGAATGAAGCAAAAATAAATTTTCCAAACATATTTTAATACAAGCTTTCATAGGACATAAACCTGAAAGACATTTTTACCATAATGAAAATGTAACATCTGAATTATATCTTCTGCAGTAAATCTTTTTAAGTGACTAGTAGCCACAGTCTCCTAATTAATACGCAGAGTATGGCTCAAACCAAAAAACTGAGCTGGAATTAGAGTAAGAGGAGGAAATTTTTGTGTTTATGTCTCTATTAAAATACTTATAAAAACTTGGATATGTTCCCCTTTTCCTAAGTATCCTATGAAAGTACACTAAAGTTAATGAAAAGTTCCATGTCATATTGATCCAGAGTTATTTAAACAATACCCAGAGCAGGTCTTACTACATGGGATTGTAAGTGAAGGCTTATTATCTGCAGCAATGGGAATGAAAAAACTTCTGAATAATCCACATTTCCAGATAATCCACATCGGCTCAATGTAATAGCTGGTTTTGTAAGCCCAGGGAGTCCAATCTTTTCACACTTTCTCCCATATATCCTATTCCCAGTACTGTAAATCTAAAGCTATGAAGCAGAAATGAAGAGGATATTTTGCATAAACCACTTAGCACAGCTAAAGAGTAATAGGATAAAGGACTTTTGTTATAAATTCTTAATACCCAATAAGTTAAACCAAACCCTAACCAAACTATAGATAATGCAGTCAAATTACAGAGAAGTGATTTACTCAAACTGATTAAAAGAGGCAATGGGGTAGTATAGTATCTCTCACCTTGCAGGAATCTCTCAACTATATTTAAGCTGTAAAAGATACACCATGAAGTGCTTTTTCTTTAAGAAGAGCAAATACTTGAATAGCACTGACTGACTATCAGACACTCTTCTCAGCACCTTGTATCTGTTCCCTCCCCTCCACACTCTTGGTCCTCATTTTACAGAAGAGAGACATGTGGCTCAGAAGCTGTGAGAGGATACCCCAGGCAAAGGCCAAACCAGGACCTCAACTCTGGCTCTCTCAGAGCCCAAGTGCTGAAGCACCTTCCTGGTCACTCTACTCTACTATGCTTCTGAGACTTTTGCTATTTGGTGGGTAGACTGGATAGTAAAACTGCTCTCATCCTAGGCTAGACAGAGCTGCCCTGTTTGCCATCATGTGCCATGACAGACCAAGCAGTGTTTAGACACTTAAGGTACTGCCATGGAAGCCAGGCTCAGGCTGCATGCTGGGGAACGACAGGTACCTTCTCCGAGGGATGGTCTCCACTGGAATGTTGAGATGCCGCCTTGCTGTTCTCTTCCTATGCCAATCTCTTCCCCTTCCCAAGTCCCCTTACCACTCAGTGCACCTTGGAACCTTAACTCTTTCTCAGAAAACTATGAGGGAAAGTTTATACTATTAAAAAAAAAACAAAAACTGTGAGTTGGGCTGTTCTAACTCTGTATCAAAAGTCCAGCCATTTCAAGGGAATTTAATTAATTAGGCATAGGGAAAATTTGTTCAATCAATCATATGTAGATAGTACAGTTAGATAAGATTCTAAAATTATAAAATGACTTGTAGAATTACTATGAACTCTTAAATATTTTGTCATTTTATCAAAACTCTGAAAGAGAGAGTTTTTAACACTCAGAAATCCCACTGAGATTCTCTACTTGTGAAAATGGGAAAATACTACTAGATAACTGTATTTTGAAGAAATGTTGATTCTTTCATACACTGCTTCAGAATTCCTAGGATTCATGATGGTCTAACAAATTCTAAAACAATGTTTCCTATATGCTTGTCAAGCTTACCTCAAGGAAAAAGAGAAGAAAACAACAAACCATCCATGCTGTAATAACAGAACTAAATTATAGGGGCTATAAAGAAGAATGACTCCATTTCTACTGGCTCTGTGAGTACCACGCGTAGTATCCTAGGCTGACCAGCGTGGCCTTTCATGATCCCTCTCTTAGGGCTTGCCACAAATCACTTTTCGTCTTATCACCTTTTCTAATTTTTGTAATTTCTTCTTTCTCAGAGTTTCTTTCTATTTCTCCTTTCTTCCTGTGCCGCCTGCTATCTCTCCCAGCTCTTCTACACCACCCCTTGTCCTTCTGCTACTTCCAAGTCGTCTGTTTCCCTTCAGAGCTCCAGAGGCAGCTGGCACACCCACTTCACTGAGTAGGGGTGCCATTCTGTGCCAGCCCATGGAGAAAGAGAGCATGGAAGGAAGGGTGGCATGCATGTCAGTAAATTAAGCTACACTAGCCCAACACTTTGAAAAAATTTATAGCAACTAAAGGCTGAAATGGAATTGATACAAATATACCAAAGAACAGGGCCACATAGAACATGATGTTATATCAAGCCAATTGCTTTCTTATTTTAAGCTATCTTCTGTAGAATATTACATGCACACATATAAAGCACAGGTGGACTCTGATAAGAAAAGAGAAGGTAAATAAAAGTCAGACTAAGAAAAATCACCTATACTTTTATTAAGCCAAAATTCATAAAACCACATCAGACAAAAATTAGACAGCAAACTAAACCTCAAGATAATTTAAAAACACGAGGGTTACTTCATCAGCTTTTGAGTTCAAGCAAATACATTTTAAAATTAAACTGTTTGGGGGGGTGGGGCCTGTGGCTCAGAGGGGTAGGGCGCTGGCCCCATATACCAGAGGTGGCGAGTTCAAACCTAGCCCCTGGCCAAAAAAAAAAAAAAAATTAAATTGTTTAAATAAACAGATCTTCACTTGAATTTGTTAAAGAACTTGAGATATGAGAGAAACCAGTTCTAAGGTTTCCCAGTGACTTTTTCCCCAATTCTATTTGTAGTCTAAATCATATTTGTGTTGATTTTTATTCCATCTCTTTTTATGCCATGAGCATTAAAAATTAACAGCCATGAAGCTTATAATAGTTCCAACAGCCTTATCCCACTCAGTGTACATGGAGATGTAGAAGAAAACAAGAACAGTCAAACACGCACACACACAAATACACACACAAATGCACATGCACACACACAAACGCACATGAGCACACAAATGCACACAAGCACACACACAAATGCACACGCACACACACACAAATGAACACGCATACACACAAATACACCCACAAATGCGCACGCACACACACAAATGCACATGCATACAATTTAAGAAGGTGGAAGGAGCCCTCTGTAGCAAAGACCCTGAACCCAACGTTAATTATCTGAAAATCTGAGGCAATTGGTCTTCATTATGTTTTCCATTCATTGCTTCTAGAATTGTAACAAACAAAAAACCCTAGCAGCAGAGATTTCTTCAGTAAAACTGTGATGAAATCATCAGACACTATACTTAAAACCATAATAAATCAAACAAAAATCAGAATGTCTCAAGGTTAACGTACATTGGATGACTTGTGGATAGAAGCAAACATTCTCATCCTTGGTGTAAATCATCGGTTTTGCTAGTCCGTCTGACTGAAGTCCAACAAACAACCCTGGGCTCTCCACAGATTCCAGGCTTACTGATGCGTTTTCCAAGTTCTTCTTAATTTTAAAATGACAGGCAGTATCTCCTGTACCCTACAATCAATACAACATGATTTCATAAATAAGAACAAACACAAAGGACAGAATTTAAAAACTGTCACTCATAAGAATTGAAGTTTGCTTCCTTTTCAAATCCTCAGGATAAATCTATGGATAGAAGCTTTTTACATAAATTGTCCTGCAAAAGTCTGCTTCATCCTGTTCTGCAGGATCCAGAAACAGGGAACACATGATACTCTGAGGCATGGACACACAGCTGGGGACAGAGTGCTCTGCATCACACAGAGAGTGTGGTGCATGCTGTATTGCACCCAAAGTTGTTCACCTCTATCTGTGAACAGAGAACATTAAAAACTGAAATTTTCCTTTTAGAAAGTACTCTGAACATGATGGAAAAGAGGGCAGTTCTTACCACAAGTCCATTTACATTTAAATATAAACCAATGTTCTGTGCTATTTTGCACATTCTGGATTAAATTTTATAAATAGCATATACATAAATTACTCAAAGATGACATAGGAAAATATTTAGTAATTGAGCACCTAGCATAATCTACATACCTCTGGATATTTTTAACACCTTTCCTTTCTTTAAGGCATTTATAATCTAATATTAGAAAATACTTTACCTTCCATTGCTTTGAAAGTGTTCTTACAGAATTTCAGAGTTTCTAGCAAAAGAGTTTTGTGGTAATAAATTGAAATTTTCACCAGCAACAATTATTTTGTTTATAATGGGAAATTATATTATGATCTCTGCTCAGATGTGAGCTTCTTATTGGTAGGAACCAAGTCTGCCTGCCTCCCTCTTTCATTTTATAAATATAAATGAAGCAATTTCTGGGCAGCGCCTGTGGCTCGGTGGGTAGGGCGCCGGCCCCATATACCGAGGGCGGCTGGTTTAAACCCAGCCCAAGCCAAACCACAACAAAAAAATAGCCAGGCATTATGGTGGGCACCTGTAGTCCCCGCTACTCAGGAGGCTGAGCCAAGAGAATCACCTAAGTCCAAGAGCTGGAGGTTGCTGTGAGCTGTGACGCCACATCAGGGTGACAGAGTTGAGACTCTCTTAAAAAAATAAAAAATGAAGCAATTTCTATCTTCCATTCTTATTATGGATACAGTAAGACTGTGGACTTGATTTGTTCACTGTTAAGTGGAGAAGATAACCACATGCACAGATAATAAGTAGAGGAAGGTGGCTGGGGCTGGGGGCAGAGACAGGATGTTTCAGGCAGAGGTACACCATGAACAAAGGCAAGGAGGCAGAAGGCAGCATGATGTACAGATGACCAAGCGTTTTAATGTTGCTAAACAGCAGAGAGAAGGTAACTGCAAAAAAGGAGCTTGAGTCTGTGCAACATAGGGCTTTTGGCCTTACCCTAGACCAATGGTTCTCAACCTGATCCTGCCACAGAATCAACTAGTTCACTAAAGAGCCCTGACTCCTTTCACTGAACAATGGTATTAGAAACCACTTTGTAACAGTAAAATACATCACAGCATTAGGAAGGCTGAGAACCACTGCCCTAGATGATGGGAGCTACTGAAAGATTTTATGGACAGATATCAAATTGCCTGCAGGACATTTCTTGAATGCCCTTCTAATACTTATGTAAAAGAAAAATCTCAGTATTTACTCAATCAGTTGTGTATTCCTTTGTAGTTTTTTACTGTCAACAGAACCTTGATTTCCTCCTGTTCTTCAAGTATGAAGTCGTGGAGCTCCCTATTGCTTTTTTTTAATAAATGTTACTTTTTAGAATGGTTTTAGATTACAAAAAAATTAAAATGATACTACAGATACTCTCACCTGTCCATGCCCAATTTTCTTTGTCATTAATATTCTACATTAGTATGACATATGTTACAATTAATGAACACACGTGACACATTATTAACTGATACTTTATTCAAATTTCCCTAATTTTTACCCAATATCGCATTTCTGTCCACGATCGTGCACAAGGTCCCACGTTACATCTGGTGGTCCTGTCTCTTTAGGCCCCTCCTGGCTGTGACAGCAGGGTCCCACGTTACATCTGGTGGTCCTGTCTCTTTAGGC